AATAGGGCCAAATTATTTCCGAAAACATAATATTATTGGACTAAAAAATAAAACGATGTATAATTACTAACTATGAATGTTATTTTTTTCTTTTACACAACTAGAATAAAAATCACTTACTGAATCAATTCCTTCAGTAAGAAACTTGTATGTCAATAAGGGCAAATACGATTTTGCTTTCATATTACTTAAAAGTTCAGCTATAATTGCTTTTTGGGTATCCATTGCTCCAACACTAAATATTCCACTACGTATCATAGCACCATAACATAACACTTTACCAGACAAGACATCACCTTCTTCCTGTAAAATGTAATAGCATTTTAAAACTTACTTATTACAACAATATTCCAGTTAAATATATTATACATTCAGTAAACGTCTTATGGTTAGGTTTAGCATTAAAAAAAAACTAACTAAAAACTGATATCAGACAGTTATTTAAAAGTAGTTATATTCCATGAATATTGTTTTATCAAGTCAAACTTTTATTGAAAAATTCAAAAGTTATTTACTATCTTAAATTATATTTTAAGTCTTAGATATTACTATTTTCTTAACAACACTGGCAATATATTGACTGGTACTTACAGCTTTTGAATCATATTTAGTTAACTCCTTATCTACAATGTTTTTGAAATTGTCCAGATCGAACCATGGTTTGTTTTTCAAATGGCTTACAATAACAACCAAAATAGAATAGTAAACAGTTCGAACTTGTGTCTTAGAGGATCCTAATCCACGTACCAACCTTGTTAACACATAAAATACTTCTTTTTGTCGCTGCTCGTCCAACTAGAAACAATAATTATGTATATTTAACAAATTTACTATTATTCAGTAGAATTTAACTTACAGGTTCGTTACTGAAGAGCTGTAAATGTTTCACTAGTTGCATACATAATTTCGGTTGGGCATTGTGAGGTGCTTTAATGACTTTTGAGAAAAGATCTAAAACAGATTTACTAGCCATAGTTAAAACAGTTTAAATACAACGGTTAAAACAATTTCATTTCCAAGTTAGTAGTTTTGAATTGAATAGAACATGTAAATCTACATGTGACGATTCAAATTTCGTTCTAAGAAGGTCTGACAGAGACATAAAGAAAACACGTGATAATCATTTGTTTATCGCCGCTTACGTTATCAAAAAAACGTGACCAAGGAGAATACAAAATGCTTGATAATGTTGTTTTCAGTATCTTTGAATTTATTTATTAAATTGTTGAATGTTGAATGTTAATGCTGAATTCTGATGCCATAATATAGCCATATCCATAGATATTATAATAGTAAGACATCTTATAAGTTACAAATTATAAACGTATAAGGTATAAAATGGTCGTATCCAGAAATTTTCGTGGGAGGCACCCTATATATTGTATATTATTCTATATTTCTTAATTTATGTTTTAACATTTGGTTAAAACTTAAAAATAAGATTAAAAAAAATATTTAGTTAAAAATTAAACGTGTTTGTCACAGTCTGGGCTCTGGCGAGTGACGGTATAATAGTAAAATAATAGTTTTAATTTACATAAATAATATAATATTATTGTTGTTGCCGATCGGCATTAATAGGAATGATAGGATCATAGAGGTCGTTGTCAAATGTCGATCTATTATTAGACGCTATGATAATATTTTCATAAGACACTATATGATTATGATTTATGACACAAAACAGCCGTGGTGTACCGATAGGGTGGCATGAAGGGCCACTGCCCTGTGATTTTAGAGAGCCCATAAAAAAAAATCACCTCTTAACAAAATTTAAAATTACAATTATCTTTGGTAAAAAATTATATTTTTGTAAAATTAAATTACTTCATAATGAAATAAATTTAATGATTGTTCACGATTATATTTATAGATAATTTTATGTTAGCCTGTCGACGTAGACGTAGGCGATATTATTATATTATATCGTGGAGCGAAGATATATAAACGACATTTTTAAAAAATCGTTTCATTTTAAACGGTTCATAATTGAAAATGGTCATAGTAGTCTTAAGGATAATTGACCTTTTATTAAAAATTCAGATAGTAGATCTTTTATAGAAAAATATTATTTTACAGTGTTCAAATGTGGTTTAAAAATCGAACGTTCATTCCTATGTTATTCGATTATATATTCATTTAACATGACTAAATCTATTTAGTCATGTTTATATAATATATATTATCATGTTACATGTTACATTACAATGAAACTCCATGTATGTACATTTACAGTTCGATAAATATCTTTTAATAATTCAAACAAAGCATACTAGCTTTACCAAAGTCCAAAGACCATGATAAATCATAAGATACATAAAACGATCGCATTGACCTTTATTACCTAAAAAAATCCCATCGAGCCGACTAAACTATTTTTTTCCTAAGTTCTAACTTTTTACAATTGTAAATATCTATACGCTTTCGTTTGTTTTTGTTTCTTAAGACTCCCCGACTCAGTAAACTCCAAATAAATAAAGGCATGCTTGTTGTAGTAGTCAATAAATACATATTAAATCACACTTACTGATACTCATTTAAGTTTAATTTGTATAAGCCATTTTCAAAACCGGCTTGCACAATAAATACAAATAATGTGAAATTTATGTTTATATTTTTAAATAATTTCTAAATAATCATACTTACCATGTTCCGTTAAAAATGTTGTAAGAAATAATTACACCTAGGTATTATTATTTTTTAATTTTTTGTTTTGAGCTACGTAAATTTGCATGTATCTACTTTCTACGTTTATCTATAAACTATTTCCGCTCAAACAATAATGCATGCAATATATATGTTTAATAAATGATCACATGAAAAACAATTTTATATTTTTGTGTACACAAAACATTTTATTTATATTATAATATGTATGACAAAAGTATTTGTCATATAAAGCATAAACGCCATAAACTACCCAAACACAATAATAAAAATACTAAAAAACTATAACAGGATAGGTGGATACAAAAATGGAGGAAAGAGAACCGATGGTGTTCGTGAGAATAGAACTGGTCAGTATTTATCTATATTCACGTTACCGTAAAACGGTCTAGGGCAATCGAGCGGAGTGTCGGACACGTAGGGTCGCAAGCGCGCAACGACCGTTACTGACTCGCGAGTCGCGGTGTTGGCGCGACTGCGGCAGAGTCGGCAGACTACAAGAACGACTTGTACGATGACAATATGCACTTATATGGTGGTGCCGTGGCGGTGGACAATGACGGAGATTTGGGCTAATGCTAGTGCACTTGCATTTTGCAATAGACTCAATAGAGTGCAACGGCTGTAACGTGTGGCAAGACGTGTTCACAACCAGTCTCAGCGTCAACTGTGCTACAGCTTTATAAATTATAGAACACGGTGTCACGGACAACCGTTCCTCCATCGTTTACCCACCCGAATTTGCGCCACTGCTGCACTGCTGCATCCTCGCGTCCATCACGCCGGTGACCGAAGTCGACCAGCCGGTCTGCAGATGGTTTCGACAAAAATGTCGTCCTGCACCGCAACGGATATCCACCACAACACATCCGCTTGAAAGATACAACCACGAAAAATGTGATTTAACATACCGCTTTCACGATCGTGCGCTTTCGTTTTTTTTCCCTTTCTTATGTCTACCTATCCTCAAGTTTGTCTAGCTAGACTTCTCCTCAGCGCTTTTAATCCTCATCTTGATCGCGTAGCGACGTGCCGACGTACAACCACAACACATGGCCTTAAAGATTCTTCGGAAACCTCTCCGGAGGGCCGATAGGAACCGGCGTCTATCTCCAGTTTATCTTCCTCGATCGTGTGCTCGGCGGGTGCCATCGTTGTTTCGAAACCTGCAGAATCACCGTAATCGTCCTTAATATCCGACCGCCGGAGTTTTGACCGGCACACAGAAACCGGCAGCAGGAGCTTCAATATCCGACATTGGGATAATTGTTTGACTGGCGCGCTGAACTCGATTTCTATACAGCCGATGACCTCCATCGGCTGTGTGGAAGGTGCTGGCGTCAACGTTTGCTCCTCTAGACTATATAATTTGATAGGGCAAGTTTCTTTTAAAGATACACAACCCATCAAGCTTTGATCGGTTAACGAAGACATTTTCAGAAAACTGATCGATCAATCGGCGGTCATTATTTTAAGTGAAAATTAAAAATTATATAGGTACCTATTTAAACAATTTTTATTACCTTATTTAAATTATTTAAATCAAAGAAAGATTTAAATAAAATAACTGTATACTAAACATGTTTTTAATTATGTATACCTAACTCTAAAGGCGAAATTTCGCGGGTGGATGCATATCTTTCATACTTCCTTCTTTCAAATTTTTAAAACTAAGAGCCTTAGGTTAGGTTATTTTGGGTTATTTTTCTATAGGCATTAAAAGCTCTAGTTACACCGTTGCAAAACAGTCAATAATCAATTTTAAAAAATAGAGTTCATTTATGAATAAAAACATTTATGCTGGTAATTGGTATTAAAAACAAATAATTATTTTAAATATTTGTAATAACAATGTGAATTTCGTTTGAGGGAGAAAGTCCAAACCCCTTGGACCCTTCTTAGATACGCTCTTGATGTCTACTATAAATATGATAAGTGCAGTCCATTATTTTATATTATTAAGTCTATGAAAAAAATATACAATACTTCCAAAATAAGTTAAGAAAAATAGTTGGTGAATAAAATGATTAATGAAGGAAATAATTTTTGAATAAGTTTATATTTAATGAAATATTTTTTATGGAAACAAGAGCATTTTACATTTCTTAATATAAATAATCGCATGATCAAATGTATATACTATTAATTAATTAATTCATATAATTATTCAATTATTTCAATTTGAACAAATTGACTTTGATACAACTATTTTGTTGTGGAACAATAGATATTAGCAATATTAGATATCTCTGATATCAGTTAGTACAAGAATATCTGGATAACAATAGTTACTATCATTTTGTTATCATTTTATGACTTAGCATTAAAATTCAAAATTATTATTGACATTATTGTTGTAATCGTAGTATTGTCAATTGTCATACGCCACCATTCACAATTATAATAGCATCTAAACACTAATCCATGTATTTTTATTTTACTAATCACTTTCTATAATAGGTATATAACTACTTAATACTTATACAATTACACTTGCAGTTGGAAATCAGTAGCAATAAGTCCATAATAATCACCTTTGAAAATACAATGGTAATGAAACAGTTAATTATTTGTCACTGTTTGAGCTCAGAACTTCGTTTAAACTGATTAACTATATTTCAGTTTTCTCTGAGTTTATTCAATGATATACTTCGACCGTTCAACACGTCATATAGATGTTGGTCAGTATCAATGCTTCCGGGCAGTGAACGAGAAGATGTTGAACGTGGTGGAAAAAGTAAAAACCACTTTATTCCATTTTTGTTTACTATTTTTTTTTTAACATAAAGGTTTCAGTTATAATGCCTCCATCCGCTCTGGACACTTTGACTCGGTTAAATATCAATTATCCAATGTTGTTCAAACTTTCTAATAAAAGAACTAACAGACAAACACACTGTGGTGTATTGGAGTTTATTGCAGATGAAGAAAAAATATATATTCCTTACTGGGTATTATTATATTTCATATTATAATAATTAATAGGCTTAAGTCGAAATCTTCTGTTAATTTTTCATAAGTTCTTGTTAAATCTTCTAGCAATGCATGAGTGTTTTATTTACTCTATATAGTTCAAATAAAGATAATCTTAGTGAACACTCAAAATTTAAAATTATAAAAACTATATGATAATTTATTATTTATTTACATATTATATATATTGCAGTATTATTATATAAATTAATTAATTAGGTAATTAAGTAATTATAATTTAAAATGACCCCACTATAAAATGAGTAGTTTGTGATAAAATATTTTTCTAAATTGTACATGATCATTAAAAATTGTTTTAAATTGAGATTACTATTATTTACAAGATATTTTTAGTATAGCAAGACATTTAAATTTTTTATTTGTATAGAATTTAAATTAGATTTGTTCTACAATTTTTGTAACTCTCATGTGATCCGCAACTTGTATTTTGTTTAGATGATGAAAAACCTGTTACTAGATGAAGGAGATATGGTGCAAGTTGAAAGTGTTTCATTAGAAGTAGCCACTTTTTCGAAGTTTCAACCTCAAAATTCTGAATTTTTAGATATTACTAACCCAAAGGCTGTTTTAGAAAATTGCTTGCGTAATTTTGCTTGTCTGACAACTGGTGATGTAATAGCCATAAAGTACAACCAAAAAATTTATGAGATGTGTGTGTTAGAAACCAAACCAGGTAATGCTGTTAGTATTATTGAATGTGATATGAATGTTGAATTTGCTGCACCAGTTGGTTATGAAGAGCCTAAGCATGAAAAAAAAATGGATACAGAAGAGATGATGGTTGATCCTGCTGATTTAATGCCAGAACCAACTGGTTTCATGGCTTTTAAAGGTTCAGGCAATAGATTAGATGGTAAAAAAAAGAAAGAAAATGCTGATGATTCGCTGAATCAAGTTAAAGCAGCATACCAAAGAGGTATTCCAGATTATAATTATACCTTAGGAACTATACAGTTCTTAAGGAACATCCGTCCTGTTATTAATGACAAAGAGGTAATTACTATATATCAATATATTAATACAGTAAGATTTTGTTAGTTTGATAACCTTAGTAAACCTGCACTATCTTTTCCCTTCTTCTTTCTCATATATATATGAAAAAATCATACAATATTACTGTCACATTTTATAAATTATAAATTAAATATACATACATACATTTTTGTATTGATGCTAAGTTGTTTTATTTTTTGGTCAAGCCCTCAATAATTTAACAAACCTCTCAATCTAACAACCCATAGTCCTATACAAGTTTGATTAGTGAGGTTTTGTTATACCTATATTCAACAATTTGTTTTATGTCAGATTGGTATTTTAATGTATACATTTTACTTAAATACATAATTTATGTCAGCATGTTACTAATGACACTACCACTTATGACAACTTACAAGGGCACCCATAGAAAAATTCTAAAGGAGGGACAACATTTTAATTATGTCCTTAAGATAGGAAGGGGTTTACAATTTAACATTATACTATTATATTTTATATATCAAACTGGAAAATTATAAAATAATAATTATTTAACCAATCAACCATAAAAGTTATTTATTGAATCTTCGTTTGATTACTAACATAAATTTATTAAAATATTAATTTACAAATAAAAATTGTAAATTTCTTTTTTTAACACTAAATATATTTATTACTTGTTCTATGTATTCATTCGTTTTTTCATCAATTTTTTTTCTTATGTACGTTTATCATGCATAATCCATCAAGTCTATCTTCACTCATTGTAGATCTTATGTAAACAATTTTTCAACATTTTCCAGGGGAGGGACATGTCCCATCCTTGCCTTCCCCTCCATAAGAGCACCCTTGACAACTTATCTAAATATGGATATGATGTTTAAACATACTAATTAGAAATCAGACCCTGACTAACTACTACTATTTTATAAAACTGAGTATATAAACAAAAATATTTGTATGTTAAATTTATAGGCATTTCTTACTATTAAAATAAATTAATTTACTATTTAATTTATTTTTGAAAAATTGTATAATACAAATTACATTAACTAAATTAATATTTCACATTTCAGAATGAAAATCAAGATGAATTTAAGCCATTTGCTGGATCTGGATCAGTACTAAAAAAAAAAACAAAAAAATAATAATATAAATTTGTTATAAAACGTGTACATATTTGTTTAATATAAAAGCATTTAGATTTTAAATAGTGTACTTTTTATTTTTTTATGACAATTCTATATTTATTGTTGACTGGTTTTAACTTGATGATTATTAATTTATAATTAAGAATAAGTATTTCTTACAATTAAAAATTCAACCATTGATTTTTAAATTAAAGCATTTAGCATAATATTCCTATTGTAAATAAGAATTTCACTAAAGGTTATAGAAACAAAAATAATAAAATATACAATAATCTATACTTATAAAATCCAAATACCACTTCGTTACTGATCGCTGTAACTCAGAAACTACGCAATGTACGAACTTGAAATTTGGAATAGAGATTCTTCTCATATTTTCACCTCGCAATAAGAAAGGATTTTCAAAAATGTTGCATTTTAGTGGAGTAATTAACAATTATAATTATTCACAGCCAATACGTATTGTGCTGCACCGTACGGGAGCACGGCGACCCGCGGGTTTCCAACTGGCAACTACCAATAAGGGCAATAAGTAATAACCCATATACCCTTACCTACTGATAGATATGAATTGTTCTGAGAAATTTATCGATAAAAATAACATCACGCATCGCGTGTACACCAATACTTCTATTAAATAATATGAAGTATATGAACAAAAATACCCATGGGCAAAGCCGGGTAATTAAGTTAATAATTATATATTTTCTATAATATTCACAATGGTTTATTTTTCATTTAATATTGTTTTCTAAAAGTTCTCATTCCGTACAAATATTTCGCTTAAAACAAAATTTCATATAATGATTACAATAATTTTATTTGTGAATTTTATAGATAGTTCCTTAATTCATTTATTTTTTAATTTTTTTTTTTTTTTTAATGCCGTCTATTGATTTACTTATAATTTTTATACTAATATATTATTTTTACATTGTGTAAATTTGAAAGAAAATTGACAATGACAAGGAAGTTAATAGTGATCTATTGATCAGTTTCGATTAAGGCGTCTAATTGGATTGCCTGGAAGCTGTTTTGAGTGCGTTTGACATAAAATATGATTTGAATGAAGTGTTAGATAGAAAATGGTTGCAGTATTTTTTATAGAAAAAACTCTGAACTCTAAAGTCTTGGTGTAGTGAAAGATTTGTGATGTACCATAGTGCTTTGGTTACCACATGACATACAGAGATAAATTAATTGAAAAGGTTGTAGACTGTAGTATTGTCCTGATATTTGAGATTCTTGCAGTGCCCCAGAAAGTAATATCATATGGCCACATTGGTTGAAAGAGACTTTTGTATAAAAGTAAATGATTTGAGATATTCCTGTTGGACCTATTATGAGTGGTCTTGTTTAGTATAGATGACTTTTAAAGTTATTTCATTTTATTTTTAAAATAAGGTCTCCAGGCGAGTCTCCTGTCAAATAACAGGCTAAGGATTATTTGTTATCCTTAAATAGAGCCATAAAGGATTACGGAGTTGTTAAATGTAATTTATATCGTAATTGTCGGATTATGTAGAATCAAAATTAAGCTTGATTTTAAAGGATTTGTTTTCGACATAAGATTTAAACAGAAAGTAATATCTATAATAAGGAGCGGTAAATATTTTTCTTAAGAGGACGCTGTATCCGCATGTGTTGGTCTCTGTCTTACATATATACAACATAGCAAATTTTCGTTCAGCAGAATTCATTTTATGTTGTTAGCTTTAACATGAGAGTAAATTCACCTATTATCGAACTTAAAGATAATAATTTTATCTAGGTAATGACATAGGATTTTATTGATATTTTAATTTTAAGCTGAGTTATAGTCATATAAGTTATTGAAACTTTAAAATGCTCATAATTCACTTTAAAATTATAATATTAACAAAAGCCTATGTCATTGCCTAGATAAAATTCTTACATTTAAGTTTGATAATAGATAAATTTACTTTAATGTTAAAGCTAACAACATAAAATGGATTCTGCTGAACGAAAATTTGCTATGTTGTATGTATGTAAGACAGAGATAACACATGCGGGTGCGGCGTCATCTTAATAGTAAATTAATGTACCAGATTAAATTGAATGTTTGCCCAACGTCATGAAATACAGCTGAACAGTATTTTTTCGTTTTGAGAGATACCTATAGCAAATAAGATCAACAACTCTATACACTATAGAATTGGTAAAAAGAAGTATGTTTAAGCGTAAACCAAACTGAAATTTCATAATGGTAATTTTTTGCTACTATTTTCTATATTACATACTATTTTTTATTTTTTCTAATACGTAATAACTAATAACTGTAGACAAGCTTAATCAAGTTCTTTATTAATCATAAGTTTTAATTAACTGGAATTAAAAAAAAAAAATGAACATAACTCTATAAATATTTTGTCTGAAGCCAAAATGTTGATATTTTATATTCATATACCTATATAAATAATTATGATTTTTTTATTTTGTTGTATAATTTAAAAATGATTAGTGATTACCTAAAACAGATTCTTCAATATGTACTTGAAATGTTCATCAAATTATTTTATTATTTCCTACGCATGATATAATTTTATAAATGTTTTGATCTAATTATTGCTCTTTAGGTAGAGATATTTGTGATTTTTAATTATATTTTAGTTTTTTTTTTCTATAAACTATAAATATTGTTACGTAAGTTACGTTAATAAAAAAATGTTAACAAGATCAAAAAAATTTGAAACAAATTAATTTAAGGTTCCTCATAAGTTGTCATTATATTATAGCTATTTCACAATAAAAAAAACATATTCGCATAGTTTTTTTTTTTTTATTTAAGTACTTGATATTCCAAATTTTCAAACACACTAATAATAGTATAGCACGATACAGCAGAGTGATTACCTTTTTCTCTTTTTTTATTTCGCATAATACATGTAGAATTGTATATTTTTAAATGTTATAAAATTAGAGATTTTGTTGGACAAAAATAATTTAAAAATATATAATATAATAAAAATGATATGAATTTATTTATTAGTTATATTCTGTGGTTAAACTAATAAAAATAATTTACATAAACAGGAACTTTACATTGTCAAATTGTAAAATAACGTATCGGACAAAATATGACAATGTGGTTATTTAAATTGTGTAACACGTATTATCACAGAATTTTATTTATTATTCTACTATTTCTACTTATAGGTCTATGGACGCAATAGATTTTGCAGGTGCGCAGTAGTGCAGTATTACGGCTTTAAATATTATCTACAAACGTGCGCAGTACTGCCGAACAACTATTTACTACTGAATTACGTGTGATCGTGATGGATTGCAGTGATTATGATAACATGATTTACAGTACCTACTACCTAACGTTAATGACGAATTCTTTTGTTACTTGTGCGTTTTAAAATTTTCGTTTTTTAAGGTGTTTTCGAAATTCAAATAGGCTTGGTCGACTGTGCGTGTTAAAAATATTGTCTTCTGTGATTATTGACGGTCCCTAACTATAAAACATGAATGAAAAAGGCATAATTAGTTTGAGTTTCAATCAAGACCGTAGTGAGTATACAAAGGACATTTCAATCTACTGCTCTCTGTAGGTAGTGTCGCTGAATGTGGTCATAATCTTCAAATTTTTGTTGTTTCAGCTTGTTTCGCTTGTTGCACTGAAACTGGTTTAAGAATTTACAATGTTGAACCTGTGTCACCAAGGGAGAAGTTTGGTAAGTCAACTTCAAACAATGCAAGTTGCTTTGGTGATTTTCTATACACTAATTTATGATTGAAACCATGTTATTTGTTGTGATATACAGATTTTGGTGGTGTATCGAAATGCGAGATGCTCAATCGAACAAATCTTTTTGCTATAATTGCTGGTGGAAAATACCCAAAATATTCTCAAAATACTGTACTCATCTATGATGCTTTGTTGCAAAAATTTGTGATGGAAATTACTTGTGCCTCTAATGTAAAATCTGTGCGAATGAGGAGAAACAAGTAAATATAAACCTATAATATTATTCTTCAATAAAATACTACAGTAATATTATTTTAAATTTTTAACTTAGAATAATAGTTGTAACTATGGACAAGATATCTGTTTTTACATTTCCTTCAGTTGTTAAGCATATAATTAATTTGGAAACTCGTCCTAACCCTTTGGGATTGTGTGAAATCACTCCTTTAGAAACGTCTACAAAACAAATCATTGCATATCCTGGAAATAAAATTGGTAGCATTCATATTATGGTAATTATAGAATTAATATTTTATCACACAAAGTTGTGCATAAAAATAATTTTTTTATTTTAGGATGTTTCAAATTTAGAAGCAACAAGTTCTAGTGCTCCGGCAATACTTAATGCTCATCAGGGAGAGATTTCTTGTTTGGCTATTAATTCACTCGGTACACTCATAGCTAGTGCAAGTTCTAAAGGAACCTTAATCAGAATCTGGGATACTTCTCATAAAGTCAAAGTTGCTGAACTAAGACGTGGGTCAGATACAGCAACATTATACTGGTATGTAGTTTTTTGTTTACATTTTTTTAAAGGTAAAAATTATATGAATTTATTATATTATGCATTTTTATTGCTTAAATAATTAAATACAAGTTTTTAGAATGATAAATTTTCATACAATTTGTAAAATAATAACATAATATGATTAATTTATAATTAAATATTGTATTTAATCTGCTTACATTTTTACAGCATAAACTTCAGTCCTGATTCAGAATTTTTATGCTGTTCAAGTGACAAGGGCACAATTCATATATTTGCAGTGATAGAATCTGACTTAAATCGCCGATCTAGTCTATCACCATTTAGTTTTTTCAGTTCTTACTGTCAATCACAGTGGGCTTTGGCTACTTTTACAGTACCTCCTGAAGTGGGCTGTATTTGCACTTTTTTAACATTAGATACTGTTGCTGGTAAGAATAAAATCATCAGCTTTTCAAATATTTAGATAATTATTTAATCGTTTTTTTTTTTTTTCATAACAACTATCCTTTGTTAATCTGTATAAGTAATTTTTTTCTTATGTATTAACTACATATTTGCATAATATATGAAGTGATAATAAAACCAAGATTAAGAAACTACACTTAAAAAATATTAATAAAGCACACTAATTCAATATTAACAATTTAAGGCATTTAAATCACTAAGAGGACATTCCACTCGCATGTGATGTCTTCATCTTATAAACAAATAGCATAACTAATTGTTTGTTCTGAATAATCAATTTAACTCTGGCATGTTAAATATAACAATGAAGAATTGACCCATTATCAAATTTAATAGTAAAAAATTACATAGTGAATCACATAGACTTTTTTTTATATTTTTATTCTAAAGTGAGTTGTGAGCATTTTAAAAATTTAAAAAAAGCCTATATGGTTCAATATGTAATAATTTTATTATTACATTTGATAATAGGTCAATTCATTGTTATATTTAACATGCCAGAGTTAAATTGATTATTTAGAACAAACAATTTGTTATGCTATGTGTTTGTAAGACGGAGACATAGGGTACTCTGAAGTAATTTTTGTTTATTTTATAAAAAACATTGATTAGGAAGTGCAAGAATTATTCATATAAATTTATTATAATAGTATACTATAGCGTGAATATGTGTTACTGTTTTGTTATTGATGATTTGGGTTTGACTTCCACTTTCTGATTAAGTAGAGTTGTCATTTCCAGTATTTTGTATCTTTAACCATATTATTAAAAACTGCTTGGCATGTATAACTGGCTATCTGTCAAATTTGTAATTTACTTTTTGCAATCAAATAAACTTCTATTATTAACAGCTTGTTTATATATTATACATATTATTTTATTTTAGTATAGTTTCATTAAACTTATGTTTTAGCTATCTGCCTTGACGGTACTTATCACAAGTTTGGATTTTCCAAAGATGGTTCTAGCAGACGTAAAGCTTTCCAAATATATTTACACAATTGTGAAGATGAAGAAATTTAAATTTATTTTTGATTTAGAATTTTTCATAATATATTCTTTTTACTTAGTGTAAGTTACTCCTAATTAATTTTAAAATAAATGTATGTGACAATCATGTAAACAAAAATAAACATTTAATAAATTTATATATTTTTTGTTAATATATTATGTGTAATGTCCCCACATTATGCTTTTTTTGTTTTAAAATTTGAATTTAGTTCCAAAAAAGTTTTATTTATTATAAACATATTAAATACTGGAAGTTTAAAACTTTTTATGTTATACATTTTTCATCTTATAGATTTATTATACTTTTCTTAGTTTGGTATTTAATTTTAATGATGAATTATATTGTACATTGAATTCAAATTTTATTATGTTATATTCGTTATATACAAATATATTTTAATTTTATATAATATAGTTAAGAACAATTTATATTGTATATCTTTTCTCAGGTATAATATTATGTAATAACTTGAAAACAATTATATTTTATTGATTTTGTTTTTTTATGTGGAATGACCAATTGTAATTGTCGTTTACTGAGTAATATTTACTGTAATTGTATAAAAATATTAGAAATGTGTTTCTTAAGAAAATATTTGAAATTATTATTATTATTACCACTTATTAGATAATCTCAAAAAAAAACCTCATATTGCGAATCAAATTATTAACTCGTGTTTACTTATTGTCGTTTGTTCCAAGATGGAAATTCGGAGCATTTCATTGATTTTCTATTCCATGACTGCGATGGCGAGGTCAATTGGGCGGCGCTACGGTGGGGCGCGCTGGTCGGCATCGCGGCCTGGATTGCGCGGGGTGGGGCGCGTAGCCCAAACAAAGCCGACACCGCCCGTACCCGACGTGTGTCGCTTTCAGACTCGCTAGCTCTGCCGTTGTGAGTTGAGGTATTAGTGAGCACCAACTGCAGAGCGTCACTGAGGTACTATTGCAAAGAGCAGTTAACTCACAGTCTTCTTGGACGTCTTCACATCGTCCTCGTAATTACCGGTTATGCCGCTGCGCTGAAAATCGAAACTTATTTAATTTTTTTATTATTGTTAATATTGTTATACGAAAATCCCGCCACCTATCGCGCGCCTTTTTATACACGGTATCATTTTGGCCATTGCCCGGTAATTATTATGGTCGTGCATCACAGCGCGACGTCCGTCAGCATGGAGGTGGATCCGCCGCGGAACGCCAACAGCCCGGACGACCCGAAGACTGCAAACGGTTCGTCGGAGAATGAGAAAGCCGAGGACTCGGAATCGTCGGAAGACGGGCCACTGGACGTGGGTGAACATTACCTGGTTCGCCGGTACGACGATTCGTGGCGTGAGTACACACAACCGGCTGGTTGATAATATCTAATATTAAGTAGTATCGATATGATGAGACGGTCGATCGATCGATGAGTAAATAAACTTTTTCGTCATCCTCCTCCGCAGCCTCCGCCGGGTGACGACCCGGCCGGTGCCGCACAACGTGATTTCAATGCGTGTGTGCGTGCGCGCGAGTCGTTGGTTTTGCGCCGCGTTCTTGCGGGTGCGGACACGGAGCTCTGCCGCCGCCGATCGCTGACGAAATGTTGTGCAATCTATAGCCGTCGGCCGGCGTGCAACATGTGCGCGATTGTGTATAATATATTCGCACTCGCACGATATTAATATTATTGTTTTTCCTACGACCGATTTGTCGGGCCGACTGTATGAAAACGACAGCTGCTGCGTTCGATTTGTCGGTAGTCAGACAAACGGCGAAGCGCCGCGCCTGGGTCGTCGACTCGTCGTTCTTTTGTTCGTTTTTGAACGCGCCGGCGGGTTCCAGCGCAGTCCTGACTCCTCTCCTCCGCTCTACTTGCCCACCCATTGTTCCCCGCGACCGTTACCGTCACCACCATCGTTGTTGTTGTGATAGCGGTGGCCCGTCCCTCGACCTCTAAAACTTTTAAGAAAAATAAAACGTAAATAAATAAGTACGCGATGACGTTTTCGGGCCGTCAAGGCGCGTTCACGACCGTCGCCGTTCGATACCGTTCGGCGGCGTTCTCGCGCGTAATTTTCGCCCGCGCAATTTTTTCCCGCCGTCACGACCGTCATTTAATTGTACTCCGCGCGTCGGTGTGTTGTTATTGCTCCGCTTGCCGACGTCGCGCGTTCAGTACTCGCTACGAATTGTTGCCATTTTCCATGATTTTTTTTCCCGCGCACTTTCGTTCTTACTGCGAGTGCGTGTTGTATGGGCCATATCGTTCATAAAAATTTAATTAACCGAGTTAACGAATAATGCTTGATTCTTTAATTAATAAAATAAGCTAAAACTTAATGATTTTTTTTTTATATGATTATTTTGTAAATATATTTTTCAATTTTTGAGGTAACTATCGCTTTTATGTAGCGGTTCATAACATTACACCGTGAAATACGACATAATTCTCTTACGCTGACAATTTGTCGTCACACTACGCTTGTTATGTGTCAATAACTGTTGTTTGTAAACTAGAAGTTAATAATAGCAGTTATATTAAATTTAATTTTAATATAAATCCAAAAATTTTGTATTGCATTTTTTTTTCTTCTCATATTAATAATTTCGATGGTAATGTGAAGAAAACAAGACAAAAATCGTCCCCTTCGTAATTTGTCAGGATATAGGGTAAATGATCCTCTAAAAATGGACTAACCTGTTTTAAACGTAATATACGATTGCTTTATTTTTTGTTTAGTGAACTAGAAAATCACATGTGCTTGCCCCATAGCAGTGTTATACCTTATAGGCTTTAAATTATAACATTATTTTATATATAATTTATCTTAATTTATTATATATTAAATTCGTTTTTATTTCGTATTTTTGATCACTTTAATTCGTTAAACGATAATGAATACGATTCGCTAACAGGAAGAGCGATAATTAATGCGTGGGTAGTTTTGCTGTCATACTCCTTGTACACTATTGATATTAGGAAGTAATATTAAATTTTGTATTTAGATTTTTGATATTTTATTCCTGTTCTCCGTAAAAAATATAATTTATATCTACCACGTTAATTTGATTCAAATACTGTATTTTTGTTACCACTATACTTGGGTTAGATTAGGTTTGTGGTATGTATTCTGTCCAGCAAAAGACAGTAGACTAACGAAATTCGGTTTTTCCATGCATCCCCTTGCGACGCCCTTCCATAGTGGAACTGGTATTGTTGATAGGGTGTCGTGGGGTTTTGTAGAATCTGTATGTTCTTTTGCTGGACTAATTTATTATGTTGATAATAGAATAGTAGATGAATCGTATATTGGTGTACTCATTCACTGATAAATCATTATTGCCTTCCACTAGTTCGAAATATTTTTACAGATAGATAATAATTATGTGATAATGATCATCATAAGCAGCCTATTTTTTCATTATTGTAGTTAATAACAATTTCTTAAAATAAACATAGAATCAAATCAATTTATTTATTTTTTATTATTATTAATAGCTACTATAATACTATAATAGTATTGAAACTGATAGCTCAATTTAATTTTAATCATTGTAATTTAACAATTACTTTTCTAAAATTGACTATAACAATATATTGACATAAATTAAGTAATATATAGCACCTAAAACATTTTATTGTATGTAATTAAAATAAAGGAAGATAAAAATATTACCTACATTTTATTCTCGTGTTTTTTTTTCTTGAGAAAGAAAAATATAGGTTATATCTTATAAAAGAAACTAAATCAAATTATTTTATACATAAATTATTTGTATCCATACACCCTTCTTACTGCTTAGCATTCACAAGTTTTTAATGAGCACTCGCTAGTTTCAATAAATTAATTTTCAACAAATTGCAAGTTAATATGGTTTGAATTTTATGTAGGTAATTGAAGACTTAATTTTGTACGCACAAATTATTATTAACATTTTATTGATTTAGATAGAAGTAATTAAATCTTGTATCTGTTTTATAAATCCAAAACATTATTATTTTAATTTTCTCCTAAAGTTTGTCACAGTTAGTGTTTTGGCAGGTCTAGCCTTCTGGTAAAATATTTTCTTGTCTTTTCTTCTGTGGTTAGCCGGCCCGGCGGCGGATTCGCGCGACAGACGCCCGCCTTTTGGCTGGTGCGCCCAGCGCGAGCGAACGCACGACTGGTATATTACAAGAATTAATACAAACTATTTAAATACACCTGTTTGATATATGAAATCAAAATACGTAATTTGTTTTTAATGTATTTTACTCTGACCCATAAAAATGCTTAGTAAGTATGGCAAGGCTCTAATGTGCATACATATTATGCCTATCTATTATATTTATTTTGCAATTATTTATATTAATTTATAAATTATTGAATAATCAGTTAGTAGAAACTAATTAAACCATTAATTAATTACAAAACCAAAACAATTAATTTATCGTTTTCATATTGGTTATTAATAACAGATTTGTACTTCTGGCAAATATTAAAACAAAAAAACTAGTTTTAACCATAATAGACAAGTTTTATATAAAACGTTAGGTATTCAATTCAATTATTTTTAAAAACTAAATGTTATAATATTTCTATATTTATAACTTATTGATTCCTATCATATGATTTAAAGTGGGTTCTTATTCTAATATAATTTAGATATCTGTAGTTACTAGTTTTACAAAAACATAAATACATAAGTTTAGATTCAATTTTTTATTTTCTTATATTGTAATAATTAAATTTGTAAATATATGATGTCATGTCTAGTTTTACAGTTTTTTCCTGTAATTGATTGTCTACTTTATGAACTTGTTTATGAATGATTGCTTTTCATATCTGTTTTATTTATTTAAATTTTATCTTAATGGCATTTATAAAAAAAAAAACATGTTTGTTTAAAATTTAAGTACCTACTTACCTTACATTTATTATTAATAGATAATATTTTTATATTAAGTCTTGAGTATAATATCTTAGATTATCTAATATCTCAGTTGATATTATATTGTCTTTTGTTCTGAAAAATTTTTTTTTCAAATTTTATTTTTAGATCTTTATCTAAGTTTAATTGTTCTTTATTTATTAAATAAAATAACATAAATGAGTGGTATATTAATGTATTATAGAATATAAGCTATGTTTACAGAGAATGTTGAATATTGTTTTTTGTTTTATTTTTACTGTGTATACCTATATTTACAAATATATTATTATTCTATTGGCTATTATACATTATTTTATGCACTGTTATAATTTTTAATTTTATGTCATTGATTAATATGATATGTCTATTTGTCTTTTATTTATTAGATCCTGCTGAAGTTCTACATACGAGGTTCAATGATACAGAACATCTTTTTGAGTATTATGTACACTATGAAGGGTACAATCGAAGATTGGATCAATGGGTACCTAGAGATCGGTAAGAATGATTTTATTTAATTTTATAATCAACAATTAAAAGTTTAAACATATAATGGTTTAGGATAATGAATTCAAGATTTGATATTTCTGAAAAAAATTGGAAACAAAAAGACGTAAATAAAAACCTAGATCTTCTTAATCAATCAGACAGAAAGATCACAAGGAATCAAAAACGAAGACATGATGAGATAAATCATGTTCCAATGGTAAAAATTATTTATTTTAATATTGTTAGACTACTAAAACTTTTTTTAAATGTAGGCTATATGAGATTCTTAATTAACACATTTTCGTTTATTAAATACTGATACTAAAGTTTAAGAACTCTTATTGAATATATAATAATAATGAAATATTTTGGCATAGTGTTGAATCAATTTGTATTCGTTATACTTTCAACTTATTTTATGACAACTATATTATCAAATTTAATATTGAAGAGGATATTAATATACCTATTATTAGTTTTTTCTCTATGACCCACAAGCAGCATAATTTTGTGTTACATGAAACCAATTTTATATTGATAAATTTAGTATCTGAATGTATCAAAATTTTAAGTTTAGAACATCTGTTGTTGGACTTTGGCTATTTTATTTTATTTTAATTTTTCTGTGATAAATAAACATTTTTAAACTATAATATTTTACATAATTATAACTTGCATAGAAATTAAAATAAATTTTAAAATCCAACAAATAAACATAGTTAATAAATTCGATAATATTTAAATTAACTAGCATAAATTTGCTGTCTTGTGCATGGGTCAGAGAGAGATAATAGATAAAGTACTGGCGACTAGCTTCTTAGTATTTTTTATAATCTGACTTCAAAATTAGCTAGAGGGCTATTATTATTATTATTATTGCATAGACTCCTTAAGTGTATGGTAGTTTGTTTAAAATAATGTAGGTATATTCAAAATTAAATGTCGAATTGTTAAAAACTAAATAAAAAAAAATTTTTTTTATAATATTCATAAGTTGACTTGGGCAATAATTATAGCCATTCAAAAGGATTTAATTGTGTTATTCGTTAATCACACAAGTATTAACATCAAATTTTATTTTAACTAGTCTTATGCAGAGATGGATCCAACTACAGCTGCATTGGAAAAAGAGCACGAGGCAATAACTAAAATTAAATACATCAACAAAGTACAGTTAGGAAAGTATGAAATTGACACATGGTATTTTAGTCCATTTCCAGCAGAATACCAAAAAGAATCTAAAATTTGGATTTGTGAATATTGTTTGAAATACAGCAAATTAGAAAAATCATTCAAATACCACATGGTTAGCACAACATTAAAACTACAAGAATTTTTTTGTATTTAACAAGTTTGTAAAATTTTAGAGCCAATGTACATGGAGGCAACCACCTGGTGTTGAAGTCTACCATAAAGGATCATTATCAATTTGGGAAGTGAATTCCAGTCAACACAAAATGTATTGTCAGAATCTTTGTTTATTGGCAAAGTTATTTTTAGATCACAAAACACTCTATTTTGATGTTGAACCATTTTTGTTTTACATCCTTTGTGAAGTTGACAAAGTTGGTGCACATTTAGTTGGATATTTTTCTAAAGTATGTTGATTAAATTAAAAAAAACTAATTCTGAATTGTAACTTTTGTTCATGTTCTTTTATTCAATTTATACGATTTCAGGAAAAAGATTCACCAGATTGTAACAATGTAGCTTGTATATTAACAATGCCACCATTTCAGCGACAAGGCTATGGTAAATTATTAATAGCATTCAGCTATGAATTGAGCAAGTTGGAAGGACTTGTAGCCAGTCCTGAAAAGCCATTGAGTGATCTTGGTAAATTGTCATACAGATCTTATTGGTCATGGGTACTGTTGGAAATTTTGAAAAACGCTTGTGGATCTTTATCAATTAAAGATTTAAGGTATATATTTATCAATGATCATTGATTATCAGAAGAGCCGTTTAAAGTTATGTAATTTATTGTAGCGCTATGACTAGTATCACTCAAACGGACATCATTTCAACGTTACAGTCCATGAACATGGTAAAGTACTGGAAAGGTCAACATGTGATTTGTGTGACGCCAAAGAATGTTGAACAACTGATTAGTTCGGAGCAGTATAAACGTCCCAGATTCATATTGGAAGGAAGCGCTATTAAATGGACACCCAAAAAGTACAACCCTCGCCCTGGACCATCTAGACATTCAAGATCCCAATACTTAGCCGGATAAAGAAATTGGTGCAGATCCTGTGAAATTATTAACATTACCTAGTAGTCATTTAAGATTTACCTAATGTAAATAGTTAAAACTTTTTTACATATATATTTTAATATATATTTTGGGAAGGTTTAAATGACAAGGGCAAACATCAGTTTTGCTGTTCATTAAGGACTGTTATGGATTATTGACAACAAACATTGAATTAAAAAAATATTTACATTCTCGGAATATCTTTTATATCCGATGATTTGTTAGGCTGTTAATGGGTGGTGTTGTAAATGATTTATGGCGAACGCAATTGATGTGATAGGGCATCAGTCTTTTTAGACTTGTGGTTGTTCTCCAGTACCCTATGGTGTTAGTCTTGCGTAGATACACTTATTATTAGGGTTTAGTGTGATAATATGTTTGCTATTTTTATTAAATACCATATTATATTGTCCCTTGTCATGCCTTTTCATCATGTGATAGTATTTTATTTTTGACTTTTCCAAGTACACGCCTAAGACATAAGTTGACATTTTAATTATCTCATTGTATTTCAATAATTTTCTATTTTATATCTTTTGTATTTCATTAATTAATGTGAATGTGCTTATGTTTTAGCGTAAACAAATAAAATAAATGCAAACTTACATTAACTTTGGCGTTTAATTTTAAACACAAATTTCAGGATATTTTATTTTATTAAAATAATATGTATACATAATTTCCTGTATCAGATCTTTGTTCAATGTACCTCTTTGGTTTCCTTTTTTTAAATTCAATAATTCATACATTTATCGAATCTGCTGTTAGTTGCACGATAACAGATTTATATACTTGATTTATAAACTGGTAGCTGTAACTAGTGACTGCTCTTTAAGTGATATGCCTTTAATACATCTCCTTTTCATATTTTTTAAATTGATGTAAGAATTTTGATGAATCAATTGCTTGGTTAATATTGATATTAGTTAAAATATAACCTTTCTTTAAATGTAATTTAAGACTTGAATAACATCCAGTTGTTAAATTGTGTGAAGTAAAACTTAAGATTTATAGTAAATATATATATTATATATTCATAATTATGATAAAAATAATATATTGTACTAAGTTCATATTAACTTAGCTGTTGGTGCGAAGTGAATCTATTATTAATTAAAGTTATTGCATTTATTATTATATTCAAATGAGTTTTGTTGAATATGACGCAGTTTATGTGTGTAGACAATTAGATTACGTACTGTATTTTTTTGTACTGATAGTGAAAACTTTAGTTTTTGTAAAAGATATGGTAACAAATAAGGTAATGTTGAAGTAGCTGATGCTTATGTATACTATAACTTAATAAGATTAAATATATTTAGTTCATTGTTGAAAATGTACTATGATATTTAGTATACATACTTCAATTTGTACTAGATGGTAATATTAATAATCTTATATTTTATAATTACCTAATAGAAATGTGAAAGCAATTAAGAAATACTAAAGAATTTACTTGTCCATAATTTTTCCTAACATTTTAATACATGACCATTTCTATACTTATTCTATTTGTTATTTTTTTTTTATTTTTTGAAATTAAGGAATATTCATTTATACATTTCAATATAATATATAATAATCATGCCTGAAATTGTGTAATTTATTGAAACCTAAAATGTTTCAACATTTTAATAGTGATTATTATTTATTTTATACAAGTTATATTTCATTTCTACTGAATTGCAAACAGATCTCTTTGATTTATTGTATATTTTTCAAGTTTAATTACATGATGAAATTCATAAATTATTTCTCAATGAAAAATTTGTTGTTATAATTGATTTAAAAGACCATTCTCATTCTTGGTATGTTTGACATTCTTCTAAGATAAAGATTGCATTTGTAAACATTGACAATCATTTTGTTTCATCTGAAAATATTTTGATCATTAGAAGACATATTATATTAATTTTATTAAATCAAATAATAAAATAACAAGTATAGCATTATATATAATCATCTTTCATTAAACTTATTGTCAAATTTCATCTCAAAGATTTATTTATAGTTTAAAGTATTCATACCCTCTTTGTAACGGTACATTTTTAGAAACAATGAACGCTACAAAAAATATATATCTCAACTTAGAAATATCTGCCTATCAAAAATTGTTATTAATAGCTTTAGTTTTGCACTCGTGTCGTTCATTTTTGTCGATAATAATTAATTTTGACGTGTGTGATAAATAGTGAAAAGTGTGGAATACAAAATCGTAGATTTATGGTTGGGAACAAATCTAAATATTGTCACGATAGTTTCAACAAATTTGTTATCAAATGTTAGTTTAATTACTGTGTGTATCATGTTCCATACAACCACACAGTAGAATGTTTTTGAAATTTAATGAAAAATAGGGTTCTGACACTGCTAGTATTTCCTATTTTTTTCTGTTGATCCTTGGGACTACGGAGTTTATCAATTCCGCTATGCCATCTATTGATTTTTACTTGTGGTAATAGTGTAAATAAGTGTGAAATACTGGTTATTTATCATAACTTAATAAATTAAAAATATGCATGAGATAAATTATTCTTTAAAATACCTATTTTAATGGTAAATAGAACAATATACCTAATTAATATTTCTACACACATAACATGGCAGCCATTGCAGGAAACTAAAGATGAAAATTTAAACGTATTGGTTTAAATTTTTGGAAATAATGTTTTAATACGTCTTGGTAGATACATAAGAAAATGTATAAATAGGTACCTAAATTATTTTTTAATCTACAAAATTAACCGGGTAAGTACTTATCAATGATATTTACTAAAATAGTAAAATTAAAATCATTGTATTATTTATATTTCGTATTGGCATAGTATAAATAATAATGTAGCTATTAAAATATCAATTTTTTATGAATTATTTTTTGTCAGATTTAAGTAAAACCAACTTAAATGAATAGAATACATTATAATATATATATATAATATATTATATTATTATCAATAATGTCATCTATTTATGTAATTTTAAAACAATTTTTAAATTTGTTTTTGGGAAATTAATATTTCCCAATTAGTAGGTTTTAATAAACTTATAATTTCAAAAAATCGACGGATGTTTTAAAGCTACCTACATATTTCTTTGTTTGACTATTCAATTTCTGGTAGAACCAATAGTGAATAGGTAGGTATACGCAGTTCATTTTACGGTGAAATTTTGTACTTTTTTCCCTAATAAAAAAGTGACATCAATGAAATTCTATTTTACAATATTATAATCATAATAATTATGGTTTGATTATTAGTATTATTACTCAATAAACATTTTTTTCTCCCCTTCCAATTCGACGCCTACCATTCAACGATTACATATTGTATTTTAATAATCACTTTTGTTATAGACTTATAGTATACCTAAATATAGATTAATTAATATAGGAAGTGAACTCGTTAGGTATACTCAACTATAAGTCTATAAATGTCATTAATTTGGACGTATGAGGGTGTTGATTTTAAAACTCGAGTCTCCAATAAAATTGCAATTAATCAATAATTGGTATGAGTAAGACGTGTAAGTGTTATACGTTTTACGTAAGTATTATTATTTTTTAAATTAATACACGAATGTTACAGCGTTTAACTTGCATTTTAATTTACTTAAATATGTATATACAAACATAAGTAAATAAATATAATTATCCTATAATTACCTATATCCTACACGTTTTGAGTTTTAAAAAATCGTCGGTCACCGGTGTTGTTTAATTCGCATACTGGAATCATTCAAAGGCGTAAAATTAATCCCTAGTCTAGCGGACCGCCACACGGGTACGATAGTGTGTAACCATCGTCCGGGCCGTCGCGATCGGTCATGTCTGTATCCAATCGGTTACGATGTCACACACCTGCACCGCTTCCGGAAACTGTTTGGGACGGCAGTGCCGACGTTTGTGTTCCTATCCCTCACAGTCTTGACCAATAGTTTGTCACTATTACAGCCAACAGTGTCACTGTGACGTCCTTACTTGTGGGCGCACCAATAGTCGCATTGGTACTGCTTGTCTGCCGAATACATCGTATTGAGTGTGATCTTTCTCGGCGGTCACAGATCTGCGTCCGTTCACAAATAATTATGTTATGCTCCGCTGTTAGCTGCGATTATTTTTACTATTTTCACTAGCGATCACATTTTTTATAGCAGCGGTGTGATAATATGATACGTCACACCATACGCTTCCGGAAAGAATTGATGAATTTGACGATGTTGGGAATGATTGGAGATTATTGTGTACAATTTCAGGTATTGATTCAGAGAGATTGTTCTGATAATAACATACCTTTGGTAATTTGTAAGTGTGCGTGTTTCGTGGTGACTTAACTCCGTGGGCTGAGCATATTAGATGATCTTTCTTCGTTATTAAGTTACTCTGGGAAATTATAGTGTAGCCAATTCAAAACATGATTAGGACGAATTTAATGTTTATGCAATGGTGCTACATTTTTCTAATATACAGGATGGAAAACGTTTTAAAAAAAAAAAAAAACCTTTTTTTTTTGTAATAAAAATATAGAAAAATTAGTATAAAGTATTTCACAAGTTTTGTATAGATTTTTACAAAATACTGAAAATACAGGCTCATATTTTTTTTGCAAGCATTTAAATTTAAGTTTTAATGAAATTATAAGATTAATTTGTAACTTAGGCTTATAATAACCATTTAGCATCGTATCAAATCATAAAAAATGTATTTAAGTGTGAAATATCAATTTTAGGGATATTTTTTAAAATAAAA